AACAAACAAATTCATCATGCCGTCCTCAAATTTGTATCTTCTTCCTAGCAAGACAAAAAAAGAAACCTTTCACTCGCCGTCTTCTATTTTTCACTGGGCCAATTGCACTGATTTAAATGTCTTACCTTATAAAATGCATACGCACAAAAAGGACGGATGTGAATTATTAAAGAAGAAAAAACGCCATGTCCTCAACCGCATCTCACGCACCGATGGCCCATACCCGTGGGGCGCGGCACCTCATGCCAACGTCGAAAGGTTCGGTGCACGGGCACACGCCCGTGCGATAATTGCAGCCGCACATGCTGCTGCCTGTGCGAATTCGTCGAGAAGCCACGAAAGCCAAGGCGGCTGTCGTATTGCGGATAGTTGGCTGGGTGACGAGGAAGAGATGGAGACGGATGTGATGGCGCAACACTAAATACGACGAAACCCGACGCATGCCAACATTTCCGAAGATTGCAAGGAACAACACATAATCGACAAACACCCGAAGGAAAGGAGATTGTCGTAATTAAAATTTATAGTTAAGCAGATAGATGACAGATTAGTAAGCGATTAAAAATGTATTAACTAGTAGACCGAAATTTTATAAATGCAGCTTTGTATTGGTGTGTTCGATACTCTTGTCTTCATCTCTTAGCAATCATCAATAAATAACATCTATTACTTTGAAATTGAAATTGTATCCCCTGAATGCTCCGTTAAAAAGTATTAATCCATTAACGATCGTATCTCGACTGAGTGACATTTTCGATAATTAATTGCTTCTTACCAACGACCTCAAAAAGGTTGCTATCGCGAATTTTGGCAGACCCTGACCGATAGACCACCGACTTAATCCGGGCATGTGTGCACGGTCCAATTTAAATCGTCAGTGCCGAAAGCCTAAAGTTCACTAGCTGTTTGTTTAAATTTAGCTATTGCTAAGGTGAGTCACGTACTTTCGGAGGCTCAACTAAATCTCTAATCGAGTTAATAGTCATCTGCTCTCCCGTGTGAACGTTGACGCGACAAGGAGATAATTCTAATTTTGAAGGTATTTTTTACAAGTCAGATTGGAGGTTGCTTACGGCATTGAGCTCATGAGTAAAAGCGGATGCCGTTTACAGTCCCGGGAAAAAAATAATAGCCGTGCTTATCAAATGCCAATTTCACAAAGTTCTTACGTACAAGTTAACCTTGGCAGTAATTAATGTCAAATAACAATTGTACTTGTAATAAGAGACGATGACATGTTTTTGATATTTCACTTTTACGCAAGAAAAAAATATTGATTGAATTGTTAGCAAAAAATTGCAATGAGCTAGCATTTGTTATTGTAAATGGTTTAATTAGTGCTGGAAGATTAATTTTCCTAGTAAAAATAGATATCTGATATATAGCCGACAGTTTTTTATCGTGTCATTGAAGCATGTTATGCATAGACTTTTAAAACACATTTTGGCCTCGTTTATTCTGCACGAGGGGTTCTGTTTTGATTTTTGGAGACAAAGAACTCGCACGGTGACAGATCAGGACTACAAGGAGGATGGAAGAGCAATATGACTCGTTCTTCCTGAATGTTCTTAGTGACAACTTTTGACTTGTATGGCACAGTATTGACCTAATGCAACATGACATCGCGTACTGTGCTTCCGTTATTGATTAATATCTCAACGACTAAGTGGCGTGACGAGAACCAACCGATCACTTCTATTAAAAGAGACAACACACATTAATACGGCACGAAAAATATAGTCAGAAACACAAAAAGGACGAGGATGAGGTGATTCAATACCCATGCTTCAATTGGATCATAACACAAGATGGAGTTGGGGGTTTGATGATTGCGAAGGTCACCTCCGAATCTAAATTGTGAAGATTCCTATAATCTCGATCTTCGAACAGGAGTTCAAATTTTAACTTTGCTGATAGGTCTTTCCATTTTCTCTCAAGGGATTACCGTGTTTATACAGAGTACTTGTTGAGATTCAGGCATTAGATGGAAACATACTCTGTCGTAAATAATCTAAGGGGTAGAAAAAGTGAATTTGAAAACAGTAATGTTCAGGTGTTAAAAATTTTATTAATTCCGCTAGTTAATATGTTAACCATTGTTTAGCTTAATATTTGATTAGTCAATAATCCTTACCTAACCTACTCATACATACACTGATCATCAATTGGACTGAGCGAAGATTACCGCCTTCGGACCGGATCGAAGAAGAATGCATCCGTCATGGCTGTTGCATGAAGTAGTCCTGCTAGATCGATAGTAGACAAAGTAATGAGAATGTCAATTCCCGCCAGCGTTTTCGTTCGGCAGCAGAAGCTAATCTGAATTATACGTAACTTAAGTAATAAATCGTTTTTTATAATGCAGTTTCTACATACTGAAAGCACAGTAGAACTGAGTTGCAGGAAGATAAAATGGGTTGTTTATCTACAAGAAAGGGAATTAGAGAAATAAGAAGCTTGATATGTAAAATCGAGAAAATTCAAAATTCTCAACACCAAGAACACACGTGATACAACGGGGGCAGCACTGCATTATAAATGGGAGTAATATTGGTGTGTAAAACGAGTATATGCGCTTAGAAGCACGGATCAAACAAGGTTAATTTGCCTACGCGTATACAATGAATGATTGAAGCGCCAAGTCTTTTCCATGGACATAACTTCGGGTTTTACCTGAGAAAAATGATGGAACCGAAAAAGGTATTTAGCCCGAGTTGGAACGAGAAGATGGAATAGTGTGTAAATCCAAATCAAATGCCGGCCGTATCAGAAGCACTGCAACTAAACTTTACATGTATAAGTCAATAATCCTACTGTTCACATCAGATTGATCTCTGATAGTAACTATCGTTTTATTCTATAACATGTAGAAACTGCCGAATCGGTTAAGAGATTGTGAAGAGACCTCACGTACAATCTATAAGACGTATGCGGTTACCTATTTATGGAAGACAATTGAAACACATTAATGTGTTAGAATCCTGTATCAATGAACCGCCTTTCAATTTACGATAGATAATACACTTCGGCATTTCCCAATCGCAGTGCGTGATGAAGTATGCTGAGATTAGCGCAAGTCCTAGCTCCGCAATCCATTTGCGTGAGATATGGGGATTTTTATTGATGATTACAGTATCTTATTGTATTTTATTAATGCTGTTTTCATTTGTGATCTTATAATAGGGTTGACTTGCACGAGACTTTGGAGGAACCATCGGCGAAATAGGGTGCTTTTACAATCGGAGCTTCTATGGTATATGCAATCATTCTAACACACATTTTATCGATGCAAAATGACTTATGATTAGTTGGAGGGTTACAAGTGCAGTCAACTTTCTCACAATGAATAATCGATATACTAACATCCGGCTCTACTTATCTCTATTCAGTCACACGTTGTCCATACCTATTCAGATCACACCTTCCCATACGATAATTGAAACTTCGAAACAATTGGAACCACAATAACAACAACAACAGCGCTCCTTATTCCACCCACTCGTCTATCCCACCAAAAAGACAGAAATTAGGTATGCGTTCTTGATACCGCTAATACGAGAGTACGGTAAATACTGGTGTACTGAAAAGAATTTTACAATCAGCATCAGGAATTTTAAATCGAAAAACGTACATTATATTATGAATACTTACGTTAACCAAATTGTCATAATATCATTAGAAACCACATTACGTGCAATTTTCTCAGGCGACTGCAAATTTAGCAAGCAGTCTCTTGCACTCGGCCACCCACTGTTTATTGAAACTCTCGACGAACGAACGAACGAACGAACGAACGAAGAAATTAAAGATGTGATGTTAATATTATTTGCATCAAACGCCGAGTCTCGTAACGTAATGCTTCACTATGACAAGGTTGTTTTCGTGCTGAGGCTTCAAAATATTTTCTTACGTATCTGCGGTATGGCTTGTCGGAGTTGAAGGTCGAATTTGGAACGGGGAATGGAATTAAAGAATACGGATGGGGGGGATAATATTACAAATCAAGCATTAATAAAATTGGATAGAAATTTTGGCGGGTCGACCCCAGTCACATCAACAACAGATGAACTCAAACAATGGATCAGTCGTCGGCAACGCCAGCAGTAATGATAAAAAGCCAGAATTATTTATTAATGAGGTAGGCAATTGCTATTAATTAAAGCGATATTCAATTTTAACTCTGTATTTATGTTATTTAATAGTTCAGAAATCACCAAAGGTTGATAGCAACTGAAGTCTAATCAAAGCATTGCCCTTAGGCGAATTTTTTTTATAGCAATTACTACAAACCCTAACCTCTCTAGCATCCAAGCTACATTAATTCAGACCTATACTTACCAAAAAACATAGCAGTGAATCTTACTTCGGAACCAACATGTTCATCGACAACAATTCCGTCCATTCCATAAATACCGCATTGAATAACCAACATGCGATCTGATGCACACGAGAAGACGCAGACCACTGATATCATTACGTGTAGGCGTAAGGGGTTTCGTGATCCACCAACTGACGGAATCCCCATCCATTTCTTCTTTAGACTTAGCGACATCGCGATTTCTCTTAAGTAACTAATGTATATCAGATTTGTTGATTAAGAGTTATCATCACTTTGTAATAATAAATCAATAACTATGGCTCTTTACTATTAGACTTTAGCGACACCGCGATTTCTATTAAGTAAATGATAAGAAATAATGTATATCAGATTTTTATCATTACGTGGTAATAATAAATCAATAACCATGGTTCTTTACTATTAGACCTCGCAATTTTTATAAATAAATGATAAGAAATAATGTATATCAGAGTTTTTTATTAAGAGTTATCATTACTTGATAATAATAAATCAATAACTATGGAAGTATGCTAAATAGAGCATCATATTCAGAATTACAACTAATTCTCCGTAGGCCGTAACCGAAAAGTCTTAAACTTGCCGACTTCAAAATCACCTATCCAACAATTCCACTTTCAGGAAAAACAAACCCCTCAGAACTAAAAATACACCTGCCATAATTTCTGAACGCAATTATTAAATTTACTTAGTATCTCTATTATAAAGGTGAAAAAAACCCACCTATTATAATTTTAGTAAAGTCTCGACGTCAAATTATTATTATTATTATTAAACTTTAGTGACATCCGCAATTTTATAAGTAAATGATAAGAAACAATGTACATAAGCGTTTTTACTTAACAGTTGTTATTACAAAGTAATAACAACTCAATAACTACATGAGGATTTTGCTTAAGAGTTATTATTACAAAGTAATAATAACTCTAGCCCACAATAGTGCATCACTATTCTTAATGATGTAATTTAAGAATTGCAAGGCATGTAGGGATAAATCTGAAAAAAAGGTCATGAAATCAATTAGAAGGGGTAGAATAGTTTATACCGCGATGCCAAAGATCAACTACGATTCTCATCAGCGCTACACTCATGATAAAAATCTAAGCCATTCAATGAAGCTACTTACCTACTCTTCCATTGCCGCTCTACAATACGAATGCTTCATAGCAATGCGTCTTCATAGTACTTCTCTGTTTGCTCCTCAAGTGCAGTGACTTGCTCACGTCGTTCGTAAACTTCAAATCCGCTTTTTTCCATATGTAAACCAGGCGCGGATGGTATTGAAGGAGAATGTATTTATATAAAAAAATGTCTTCAGATGGAGGACATATTTTGTCCTTGCTGTTATATTGCGGAGGAGACATATTTTTTGTTACTATTAAGGTGAGATGATGTTGTAGAAGCAAAATATGCGGGTATGTTCTTATTTATACTTATCATATGGATAATGCCTTTCAACATCTAAAGTGATGCGTGATTTAGCCGATCACTTCTATCAAAGGAAAGACACGATGTTCCTAAACAGTGGATTAGATATTGCATTAAAATAGTGAACAAATGGCGTTTTTGTAACGACAATGACTTACTGAAATAGATTTCGGACACTCAACCTGAAAATAGCAATAATATAGAGAAGTAATTCCCCAAATAGTCTTTAATGACGTCCTAGACAATGGATTAGACATTGTTCCTTGCATTGGAGCAGCCGATTTCCATTTACCCGTTCGCTTTGCATGACTTGACAATAGATTTTGGACATTCAATCTGAAAATAGCAATCATATAGAGAAAGATAATTTCCCAAATCGTCTTTAATGACGTCCTAAACAATGGATTAGACATTGTCCCTTGCATTAGAGCAATGAACGAAGCCCCCGATTTCCATTTATTTGCCCGCTTTTGTATGACAATGACATACTAAGCACGGATTTCGGACACTTTGATTCCTCATGGGTTCACTTAACAGGTTTTGGTGCATACTATGCGTATGTAATAACGGCTGGTAAAGATAAACGATGAAATAGTCATGCGCGATATCGGCTCGGAACATTAAAATCAGAAATCCATTTTTACACTCTATATTCAATGTGTAACATGACTTTTACTGACTATACACTCACTGGACAAAAGTCTACGTAATTTTTGTCGATCACATAGTAAAACATATGAAAAATCTATTTTTTCGA